ACGGGACCCGGAGCTCGGGCTGGCGCGGTGTGGCGGCGGGGCAGAAGCAGGTCCTGAAATAAGTAAGTTACCGCCTCCCTGTTTGTGCTAATGCTGTTGGAAGACGCATAACTTTGTTTAAGAGAGAGTTTCTTCCCTTGGTTTCCCTGTGTCTGCCTAGCACAGACCTCAGGTGAAGGGGCAGCAGAGGTTTGCCTGAGGTGTTTTTGGAGGAGCGGTTTTAATTGGCCTCTTTTTGTTTATATTTTACCTGTTGCAGTGCAAGAGTGACACTGTCTGGAGAGTTTCTTTGATGCCTTTGACACTTTTATGTACAATAAGAGTGCACGACTGTTGTTTGTTTTTTTTTTTTAATGTACATTTCATGCCTTTTGATTGCTTCTTCATGGAGTTCTCTTGTTAAATGGGGTCGTCTGAAGCTTTTTATGTTCTGGCTGCTGTATGCAGACTGATTCAATAAAACCAAAAAGAAGCATTGGTGTTAAGAGACAGCTAAAGCAGCCTGGTTAGAAATTCATCAAATCAAACATTTCTGTATGTAGCCAGTTGTTTTTACGTTTGTTATAATTTACAGGGTTTTTCAGTGGTAAAATGTTGAAGCTAAAGCTTGTACGGATACAATTTACTTTCTTAACCCAACAGTTTAAGATATTTACAGTTGGAAGTATCTTAACTAGAACTTCGCAGGCTTTGCACAGACATCTGAAAAATCCGTTGTGGATTTACAGCTGTAGCTTCTATTCTGATAAAGTAAGGGTTGCAGTTAGGCTCTCTGGATTTTGGCAACATAAATAAGACCATCTACATAGCAGATTTCCTTTACATTACTAGCCTGTGGTTTGAGCTTGACTTCAGATGGTAAAAAAGCTGTATATAGTTTGGGTTCAGACTTTTTTCTTTGTCCTGTACGCTAGTGTTCTTAGAGATAAAGAAAATGGCTTTTCCTCTCGTGTCAGCTTTGTATGCAAGTATCTCTGATGTTTTTCTGTAAGTTACTAAGAAAGTTGTACCTAACAGGCCCCCTCCTCCAGTGAGAAGATCTAGTCCATTGAATGTCCTTGAACTGTAGAAAGATGAGGAGACTGAGACCTGACTAATTCAGTGTAGTTATTTTCATGGTCCTGTGCCGTTTGACGTTACAGTGCTCCTAGCTCGCTTTAAATGTTTGTGAGTCTGTGTCTCAACCTAGGGGTGTAACTTGCAGATGAGTGGGCTGTCATAGATACTTGTGTGTCGAGGTGCTTTGACCCGATTTTGGGCAGTGGACGGGGACGAATACTTGTGGTGCCCTCTGCTGACTGTTTGACTGCCCCGACAGTGGGGTAGCCTCCTCTTAGGACTCTCCACATTTGTACCTTTACCTTAAGAGTGTGTGTGTGTGTTGCCTGATGAGAAGGTTTATGAGAACACCTGGATTGATTGTTTTTTGCTATTGTGTTGGTTGGGTTTTTTTTTTAAATACTAGTACATGAATTGATACACTATGGGAAGGAGGAGCGAGTCTGGTGTTTTGGTTGGGTGGTTTGTTGTTTGGGGTTTTTTTTGTTTGTTTGTTTGGGGTTTTTTGAGTTGGGATATTAAGATACTTCTTCTGACCATAATTGCTATAACAGCCCTGCTGTTTTATAATGAGCAGTGCATAGTCAGGAAAGAACAAAACAAGTTTAAAGAAAACAAGCAACAAACCACACATCTGTCAAGCCTGATGGTATGCAGCCTCATATAGGAGTATCTTTTCTACATATATGAGAACAGAAGAAGAGAAGGGAAGGAATGATTCTTGTAAAAACAGATTATAAGGGATAAAAAGTAAAAATGGATGATCTGAAACTTCAGGTTTGTTAATCCACAGTTACGTAAATGGTAAGCCAACAACAGATCTAAGAACTGTTAAGTCCTCTAAGTTCTGAGTCAGGATGTGGTACTTTCACTGTGACTGGTGACAGTGATGTGCAAATTATTGTGACCTTTCTGTTTTCCTGCTGTAATGCTAATGATAATACTTAATTGAGTATCTAATGATTAATTTTTAAAAATGCTTTAAATATCCAACCTACTGTGAAATTTCCAGTTAATGTATTGCAATATCCAACTAGTTGATGTAACATAAGCAACATAAAACATTTGCTTTTCTCAGCAGGCTCATGAATGATGCTCAAAATGGATTAATTTCAATTTGGCTAATGTTGAGGAATTTATTTTCTGTTATTGTAAAAGTATACTTAATTTCATGAGTGCTAGCATGCACAACAACAACAGTTTTTAATACATAGGGACTAGGAAGAATGAAGGAACACTTAACATTTATGTAGGAAAGACTGTCAAAACAACTTCCATAATAAAAAAGAAGAATGTCCTGAAGACTTAGAGATGTATCCATTTTATCGACTGATGTGTTTGCAAAGTGGTACAGAAAAATTTACATGCCTTAGGGTATGGAAAACATGCATTATTAATAGTATTTTAAAAGGCTCTCTAACTTCATTGTTGCCAGATGGGATGAGAAGATAAGTATCCTGCACCGCAAATGGCCTCCTGTTTGACCTTTATTGTTAGCTAGTCTGGAGTCAGTTTTGGTGGATGAAGGTTGATGACTCTAAGGTTTGTACTAGAAAGCTGATTTTCTGCTTGCATTCCATAATGTAAAAGGACTCTGTGAAACTCAGAAACCCTTTATTTGGCACCTTAAAGCACATGCTTTAAGCAACTGCATGTTGCTGCAGTCATATTTTAATGAAAAATGGGGGGTTCATTATTGGTTTGCAGGTCTTTTGGGCAATAAATATTACTTTTCCAGCCTGGATAATTATTTTGTTTAGTCTAGGTCTTGTATGGTTTTTATTAGCATACATCTTTCATCTTTATTGTAAAGGCAACTTAGGAAATTAAGTAATTAAATGAATTTGGCAAGGCTATCGCTTAATAACTTAACAGCAGCTAAGCTGTATTCAAAAGTATAGTATTTGACTTTGTTAATTAGATCAGAAATTAGCCAATTCTTTCAAAGCTAACGCATTGTTAAATACAATATTGGGGTAACCTAGTAAAGCAGACATTTATTTTTACAATGCAGCTTCATTTAAGTCTTGATCTATAACTGAAACAATATAGTGCTTCTGAACACATTGGAGCTTGGACTGAAGGATGAGTTTGAGGGTGGGTTTTACTGTGGTTTGTCTTTTTCTTAATTATTTTTTTACTTGCAGATGTTTGACAGAATCAAATCATCTGATGAAGCTTCTGCTTCTTCAGCACAAGGTGAGAAGTTTAAAGTAGATGCTTTCATTGCAGTTATTGTTTTTTAAATGTAATAATAGCAGAAGTATTAGTTCACTTTGTAGCTTCAATTGTGTACTTTGATTTCCTAAATTTCGTTATGGAACTTAAATGGATGGAACAAGTGATTTCTGTATCATCCACAGAGTTTCCATGTAGATGTAATTTTATTGTCCTGTAATAAACTTTTTAAGACATGCTACATTTTATCTTAGTGATCACAGATGTAGCAGTATAAATGTAGATTGCCTAGTCTTGATCCCGGACAAATTGGTAGAAAAATTCCCACCTACCTCAACTGTGAAAGCATAAAGCTTATTTTATGAAGCTCTTAAAGGAACTTTGAGGACAAAAGGATCTCTCGCTCTGCATGCTTTCTTGAACTCACTAAACTTTTTATCTTCCTTTAAAATAATAGTTTTGACAATGCAATGTAAGAGAAATAACTAATTGCAGATAAAACTCTATTCCATCTTTTTGATTTTTTTTTAAATTTTCTATAGGAGTCAAAAGACATGGTGTTGAAGGCTCTCTACAACAGGACAGCACTAGCAGGTAAGTTAGGTAATTATCTGTGTTGGGTTTGTGTGTGTTGTGGCAGGGTTTTGGTAGCAGGGGAGGTGCTACAGGGGTGGCTTCTGTGAGAAGCTTCTCAAAGCTCCCCCGGCTTTGTCAGACCCATCTCTGGCCAAGGCCAAGACAATTAGTGATGGGATGGTGGCTGCGTCTCTGTGATAACCTATGTAAACAGGAGAACCTGGGAGGAGGAGGGCTGAGGGAAATACCTCTGCAAACACCAAAGTCAGTGGATGGAAGGGGGGGCACAGGGAGAGGTGCACTGCAGCCGAGACACCCCCACCCCCCCCCACCCCGTGGCCCATGGCGAGAGGGCGGGCTGTGCCCCCGCAGCCCGTGGAGGACCCCATGCCAGAGCAGGTGCCTGCACCCAAAGAAGGCCGGGACTCAGCGGGAAGCCCCTGCTGTTGTAGTTCGGCCCTGGGAGGATTGCAGCACGTGGGAGGGATTCATGCTGGAGCAGTTCGTGAATTGCTGCAGCCTCTGGGAAGGACTCATGCCAGAGAAGGTTCATGGAGGACTGTCTCCCATGAGAGGGACCCCATGGCGGAGCAGGGAGTGTGAGGAGTCCTCTCTCTGAGGAGGAAAGAGCAGCAGAAACAACTTGAGGGACTGACCACAACCCCCATTCTGTGCCCCCCTGTGCCAATGTGGGGAAGGAGGTAGAGAAATCGGGAGCAAAGCTGAGCCTGGGAAGAAGGGAGGGGTGGGGGGAAGATGTTTTTAAGTTGTGGTTATACTTTGCTGTCCTACTGTGTTAAGTGGTGTTGGTGGTGTTGTTTGAATTAAATGGACGTTCTTTTTCTTCCCCTAATGAGTCTGTCTTTAACCTGTGACCAAAAGGGGAAAGGCATCCCTCCCTGCCCTTATCTTGATTCCCAAGCCTTTTGATTTATTTCTTCTTCCTATTCCTGAGGGGGAAGGAGTGAGTGAGTGAGTGAGTGAGTGGCTGTGTGGTGCTCAATTGCCCTCTGGGCTCAAACCACGACATGATCTAACTGGCAGCTAGCTTATTGCTTATACAAAGTAAAACAGAAGGAATCTGTTTTTCAGCCTTACCTGTCATCTTGTGTAATGTATGTTGTTGATGCAATATAGATCAGTTGTATGGTGGAGGTCCTTTTTATCTTGTACCCACATACCATTAAAAACCGTGCAGAAGATGTATTGTAGTGACCAAAACTAATGTGTGGGTGTCAAGTTTCTTTGTCTTTGGTCTGGGTTTTTAATTTCAAAATACTAAAAACCAGAAGAATATAAATATGACTCTGCCTTTTTCTGGAGAGACAGTTATCTTCAGATTTCAGCCAGCTGAAATTAGCGTTTGTGTTACCTGTGGGTTCAACCTGTTATCCTTTGTTCTGCATTTAAGAAAAATTTTCTTTAGTGAAATTTGCTTGGGAATACCTTAAAATATGTAGTTCTACTTTCCATTACAATTCTGAAATAGAAACGTTTATCTCGGAGGTTTATTCCAGCTCTGTAGTAAGATATTTATTATTTCCATAGTAAGAACATGAATTAAACAACCCGACATGTCTATTATTACCTTCTTCTTTCAGTTCACACACAGGAGAGCAAGAACATACTCAGCCTGGAGTATCCACTGTGCAAAACAGACAAGGATACTGCAACTGCTGCCGTGTACACTACAGCAATCTGGAACAGGTGAGAAGGTTTCTGCATAATTCAGCAACAGCTAGCAAAGAGTACCAAAAGGCTTTATCAGCCAATAAAATGTCAGTCTTTCCACTGAACAACCAGTGCTGAATGAAAAAAATCATCAATTTTGTGAATTGCACAGTGTATGCACTGAGAAGATACTCTTCTTATCTGTTACCTGTTAAAAGATGCTGGTGGAGTGGCATGGCTATTGCAGTCTGCTTTTCTGAAGTGACACGTTCCTGTGTGTTGTATCAGTTTGGTTTATTTCTGTGGCTTTAATCTTGAGATCTGTATATATTGTAAAGGATTAGGGTTATTATGTTGGATATCAAGGCTGAAGACATTTGATTTGAAGACTCTGTCAGTCTCTTGTCCTTTAGACTTCTTACACTAGAAGAGTAAATAGGCTTCTAATTCCTATGTTTATGAAAATTTTTAATTTGACTGAATTATAGGATGTTTACTCATATGAATTCAAGAATATTTTAATAGTAATTTATTTTTTTACATTTAGAGTATTTGTACTAGTTACAAGAGACTTGTGAGCAGTTGTCAGAGCAGCTAATTTAGGTTCCAACTCAGATGTTTCAATACATTTTAGTATTATTTGAGACTCCCTAAGCATGCTTAAAAATTGTACTGAATCAAGGCTTTAAAGTAGAAAAGGCTCAAGACTTTTTATTTAAATATTTTCTAGCAACAGTGTAATGTTTAACCTGGGAAATAGTTTTGAGTAACAGGCAGGGTGTTAACAGTAGTATTAACTAGTCATGTCTTTGATCTTTCATCAGCATGTTTTCAGCTCCCAGCACAGACGTTTTGCCACTTGCTGTAGGAATCGTACGGGTACCAATATCTTGGTGAAGCGTTTCCTGGAAGATGTTTTATGCTACCATCCCCACAGATACCATGACAACAGGTATAATACAGCTGGCTTTTTTTTTTTTTTTTTTAGTATGTGTTGGTAGAATGCATGTGTTATGAGTTCTTATTTCTGTTCATTACTGAGCAGTAAATTTTGCCCGTTTGAGGTGAAACTTTCATTCTGGAGACAATTTAGAAGAGTGCATTTATATAAACACTGTCCCAAGTATGTTGCTTTTGTATTGTCTCTGCACTTTTAAACTTTGTTTCACTGCTTAAGAATTTGATACAACACTATTGATAGCAATTAATTTTGAAGACCTGAAAAAAGAAGGAATATATGGGTCAGTGAGTACAGTGGTAGACTGTACAGTCTGACATGCATTTACAAATCCTTATAATTGAGGCTTTATATATGTTATAGTTCTTATAATTATGGGCTTTATATATATGTGTATAGCAGTATATCTTATGGTATGTTTAGAAAGAGTCCATAATTTTGGTTTGTTGTTTCTCGATGTCAGGTGAATATTTATGTGTTTATCTTTTCATTATCCTTGCAGTTCACACATTCAGTTAATACTTATATGAATTACATTAATTGGCCAATTCATTAATGCTTAGATGTTAGAAAAATGTCCTCTTTATTTACCATGCATATGTTTAAGAGTGGTAAGGGGGTCAGTGTGTGTTTCTCTGTAGATGAAGGGAAATCAGTTAAATCTCATTCCTTGTTTATTATATTCTGCAAGGCAGACAAAGATCCCACTCTGAACCTTGTGCAGTTCATCTTGATACACAACTCTTCTATGGATCTGACAAACAAGTAGAAGGGTGTTTTGTCTGAAGGCAGTCATATTGATAATATCAAGAATGTGACAGAACAAGCTAATAGGCATGTTTATGCCAAATTAGCCCAGGACATGTACACATCACTACAAATAAATAAATTAATCCTGCAATCTTAAATAAACAGTCCTTCTAGTTTAAGAACATTCAGAATTTTTTTGCAATGGAGAAAATACAGCATTCACTCTAAGGCAATGCTTAAATGAAAAAAAAACCTTCTTGAGGTGTCACTAATACACGGTTATTCTTTTGGAGAATTAAATCTACTGACTTGGTAAAACAAGTTACCCGTGTTCCTCTAAGTTGTGGGAAGAAGGAATGGAATGAGAAATATAATGTACAAAATCTAGATGAAGGTGGAGGGAGAAGAGGGAGGAGTAATCCCATATCTAGACAGTTTGGAGATTTTAAAAAAGCAAAGATGAAAGTGTGAATAGATTTATGTTGTGATCCTGCTCTGAAAAATGACTGAAAAAAAAGTCACGTTCTTAACTGACATCTGAGATAAGTATTGGATTCTCTTTGTTCTTACATAAAAACACTTAGATTGATACCAGCTTCACTCAGTTCTTAAATGCCTGTTTTTACTGTTTAGTTGAATTCACACAAGGGATCTTCAGAGTGTCATTTAAAAGGATTATAGAAATATTTGTGAGACTTGATTTGTTTTGTAGAACCAGTATACCTAGTAGTGATGTGGAAAAAGGAAAAAAAATCATCAGAGCTTTGCTTTATACTGAATTTCAAAGAATATTGGTGGTCTAGCTCTCTGCCCAGTAAAACACCCCACAAACCAAGTCATTCCTTCCTCCAGACTCTTGGTGTAGAAGTTTTTTATGTAAAGAAATAATGTTGAGCATTCAAGAGAGTAAATCTTCACTCTGCTTTTGGAGGTAATTTGTAGCAAAACTGTCAGAGGTTCCTAACTGTGTAGAACTATAATTCTGTTCCCTCCACCTCAGAGACATCTGCTTATAAATAAGTTTTGAAAACTGCATATAAACTGTTAAGTGAGCTAGAAGCCTAGGAATTAGCTATAGTTGTCCATACCAAAATCCATTTAGTCCTATATTTAGTCTTCCAGCAGCCTCCAGATGCCAAGCGTTCCACGCAAAGATGGAAGAACTCTGAATAAAGTGAAAAGATTATTTCTACTGCCTTTGGCCTTCGCTTTAGGTCTAATTTGGATCTGTAAGATTTTTGAAGTTTGAACAAAGGTGCTTTATCTCAGAGCTTAGGTGGACAAGAATGCAACTTTTCCTTTTGAGGAACTTCGATGGTGGCTAGATCTTAGTCTTCCAGCTATTTTATTCTATTTTAATTGTTCCTTGAGCTAACTTGCCAGGTACATCTCTAATAGCTTTTTGATGCTATGAAACTTTTTGTATTGCCACCTGTAACTTGATTATGGTCTAAATGTTAGCAATATTTTTCCCACCCTCATCTTTTTGTAACTGTAATTATTTATAATAGAAAAGTTTTCCTGTGGCATTTTTTTTCTTCAGACTTTCAGCCTGTGATTGTATTCCATATGCATTACCAGGAATAAAATCAATTATGGTTTTTTGGTCTGTGGCAGGTATCAGTTAAACATTTTTTACAGTAAGGAGGAAAAATATAATTTGGCATCTCAATTATGTCAGGTTTTTGTTGTTTCCTTGAACAAAGACAGCCATGTCTTCTACAAGATTCCCACTTCTGGTATGCATGAGCCATGACAGCTACAAATTTAGTTTCACTTAGTGTATTACTACAATATGTAAGGTATATGAATTCACACGTTCTTCACTCCTACACACACACTCTTTCCTCACACACCGTTTTAAAAGATACAGGAACATGTGTACATGCTGTACATCTTGTACATGCTTTTGAACACTGTAAAATTACAAGTTGGATAGGCATGGTGGCCTTTATCTTCTAACTTCTGGAAAGTAAACAAAGGTGAAATTTTGCAACATAAATTTTTGAGGGTTTAGTACTTGGATTGAAGAAGAACCTGGACTCAACTCTACCTGTGGAGCCATAACTAGTGAGTCTGTAATAACAAACATCTTGTTTTGGGGTATGTGTTAATACTGCTTGCACCATTAGTTCAAATCAAATATTTGCAGTCAATATTTGATATGTACATGTTGCATTTAGCGTGAGAAGAAATTTGGTAAGACATAAATCCCCTTGCATTCTAGCCGGTCCTCAGAGATTAGAGGGGCTAGGGGTGGCTGGACTTATCTTTTAATAGGTATGCCAATTGGAGCCATAACTATAGGTCTGACCCGGATGCCCAAACAGCCTGTGTGCTGTAGGTCTGGTTGTGTTCAAAAGAAGCTGTCAGATTCATGAATAGTGTGGATTAGTGACTGTCACTATAGGTCTGACCCAGCCCAAACAGCCCATATACTGGAAGTCTGGCTGCATTCAAGAGAAGCAGTCAGATTCATGAATAGTAGGGTTTATTTTCATGCAACATCTACAGATTCTTTAAGATTGCCTACGACAAATGCACAAACTGCAGGTTGGCTCTATAAGCACTACACAAAACAAAAACAATCACACACACACACACACACACACACACAGAGTTCCTGGGTATACACTTGGTGTAGCCAAGGAAGTCTTAACAAAAGGTGTTCCTTCTGGGGGGTGGGTGAGAGCACAAACCAGTCCATCTGTCCCTCCATTTTGGTGTCAGATTATCGTCCCTCCAAGTTAGGTACAAACTCGGGGTACTATTTATCTTAGTAGGTGTGGTGAGTGGGTGGGACTGTAGTCAAATCATTATTCTATCATTAATACATCATTAGTTTCATGGTGCCAAGGGGTATGGCTGTTTTTTGTGGGAAGAAGTGGGAGGATGGGAAACAAGGTTGACTTAGTACGATGGTTGCAGCTGGTTTGTGTGGGAAAGAAGGGAAGAAGAGGCACAGTGTTGTCAGGCTGCTACAAAAAAATATTTTGATGGAACCAAGCAGAACAGGAGATAAATCTGTCCTTGAAGTGAAAGAATGGGACTGTGCAGCCTGCACCCTGCTTTGTGTTCCTCCTTGGCACCACATCAAACACCAATCACTGGACCTCTGTCTGGTCCTGTATTTATTCTGGGCACTCTGTGTCAAGGAAAATGTATACTTTGCAAGTTTCTTACTGTTTTGCTCTTTTGCCTTCCTCACGCTTCTGACACCCAGTTTTCCAATACCTAATTTCCAATACCTAACAGGATATCACTTCAGTGAATGAAGAGTACTATGCTAATAGCCAAAGTAAAACATAAGTTACTTCATTATGAATAGCATGCAGTGCTTTATCACTTTTTATGTAGACAGTGTGAATTTTATTATGAGTTGCAGTGACAGGAGGGGGCTTGGATGTTCAGTATATTCATGTGACTGTCCTTGCGTTTCCTTGGAAGGCTTTTTTTTTTTGTTTGGTACATGCTGTGTCAGTCCCTGCACTGTGAAATAACTTGTAAAACTCGATCTTCTTACAACTTTCATTTCCATGCAATATTTCCATGCATTAAAAAGTTGTTTCGTTTATGTTAGTGACTGTTAGTGACTCTGTAGTTCTTCTCACGTGATGTCAGTAAATAGGGTTTTCAGAACTCATGCTACTTAGTATGCTATGAAGCAGTCTGGGAGCTGTTAGTAATTATTTTGAGAGGCCATGGAGAATGTGTGATGTTTCACAAGGACTGGGGAAGAAGCAAATGTAGCTCTTGTCAGTTATCAGTAGGGCAGAGAGAGGATCTGCTTCAAGAGTCCTTTGCTTAAATGACAGTATTTCCATGAGAACTGAATAACCAAACTGTTCATGAGAATCTACAAGACAGTGATGAGTAGTGATTACTGCTGATTTAGTCGAGAAAAATCACATCAGGCCATCGTAATTTTTCTTCTTTGACAAGATAACAGATCTTGTGAATGGAAGAGAATCATACATCTTGATGCTATCTGTCAAGATCATGCCATCTCAAAAGCCCAGCTTTTGGCTGTTCTTGTATGACGTTCATAAGTAAGCTAAGGAAAATATGATTGAAGATTAAATGGTGATGAAATGAATGTGTAGCTGGCTGGAAATCTGTTTTCTTAATTGTTAGTGGCTCAGAGAGAGAGAACAAAATCTAATGGTGGATCACAAGCCTTATCACTGAGCCCTATCCTGAGGTTTGAAGTAGATGTTTTCAAGTATGAATTATTGGGGGGGCAGTGGTGGCAGAGAAGTTTTGTTTTGGGGGTGATCCTATGAACCTTGATTTTCCTGGACTAAATCTTGATAGCTCTGTAGAGTTCAAATGTCAGTTTTAAATATTGGGTTTTTTTAAACATTGGCCAAACCTATAATTTATTTTGAACTATAAAACAGTTCCAAGCTGAGAATTCTTTTGTCTGTCGTCTCTTGGTAAAAGGCTGAGACTTATCTATATTCAGATAAGTTCTCCTGTGATTGTTTTTAATTGTGAAGGAGTTAGTTAGAAATACTTGCTACAAGTTTGCTTGGTATCAGCTGGCTTTATTAATAAATAATCTCTGAGACTTTCAAGGACTTCTGCACATGTTGACTGTTAAGCATTGCTAATTCTGTTGGCTTCTGACTGATTTTTAACTTTCAATAAATGTGGAAGCTGAATGTTTATAACTAAGGAAATTACTGTACAACAAAATTTATTCATAATACTTTTGTTACCAGATGAATGCACTGTAAGCAGTTCATGGTTGTCTGCCATATATCAAAGCAAGCACCTATTTGAGTCTCACAAGGTCTGGTTATAACTTTCAAATGAAACATAAAATTTTCTTTTCAGTTATATTTACTTTTATAAAAATTATTTTTATTGGATTTGCCCAGCTGTTAGACATTGGAGCCTTGTGGGTTCCTGTGTTGCATAAGAGAAATAGTCCCTATCTGTCTGGTCTGTTAATTCTGCAAGACATAAACACTTGTATTTGAGGCAGTCCTAAAGACAGATCTGCCAGTTACAGAATATATAAAAACCTGCTGTTGTCACAGTGAGGCTGAACAATCATAACTTGGCTTCTTATAGAAGTGAGTCAGAAGCTGTGTTATGTCTATGAAAAACAGTAAGCATGGAATTCCTTGGCAACAAGGGCAGAGTTCCTATCAGGCAACCATGTTTTGTAGGGAAAGGAGCATTTATACTCAATGATATTTTTATACTGTGCCATATTGTAACATTCCATTTCTCCACAAAAACTCAAAATTAATGATAGTTTTACCAGTAAAATAACCTCTTTACAAGCTCACAAATTCAAAAAGGAAATGTCTTGAATTTTATTACTTTGCTGTATTTATAAAATGGTTTGCCCATTCTTAATGGGTTGGGTGCATGAGGAGGGTAACTGACTAGTGCCCATGTTGTTATCTTTAGTTTTGTGGAACATTCTCCTTCCTCTCTGCATGGAATATCTGTACTAAAGTAGCAGAGCTGGTAACTTGAGTTGGTTTATTAAGTGTGATGCACTATAGGTAGCTAGGTAGTTACTTTCTGTTTTGTTTTTTTAAATACTATTGTTTGAAAAATCTCAAGCATATTTACAGTATTTACATATGGTGTTTTTTTCCCTCCCCTGTAGACCAACCTATGATGACATGCCACTTCCCATCACTTCAGAGGCTGCTAGGGTTGCTTGCCTGTCCCCAGAAGAGATGGAGAGACAGAGAAACAGAGACAGACAGGAGATTTCCAGCAAAGATCAGGAGTCCGTTGGAGGACTACGCTCTTCTGCTCCATGCCTGTCTCATGAGGGCACAAAGAGAACTTCTGTAACACAAACATTTACTCAGAAACTAGGAAGAAGGCAGGAACGTGTTACAAAAATATCCCAGCAGCCTATGGGTATTTGTAGCAATGAGAAATGGGATACCCTGAAAGATGTTCAAGTTGCAAATCATAGCCATGAAGGCCAGTTTACAGCTGTGAGCAGATGTGATAAAACAGGAATGGAGGTATGCAATAGTGATGTGTTAGTGAAGCGGTGCTTGAATCCTGCTCCGGCACTGGTTCATTCAAAACACCCTTCAGTTTCTCATCAGAACCCTATGTACAGCCACAGCAATTCTTTATGTATTACCTCAGGTCAATCTCTCTCAAAACGAGATGGTTTACAAACTCAGGATGAGACTTTGGTGTCTGATTTCCATCTCAGGGATACTGTGGGTATCAGCAGCTCCCTAGATCTTGGGACATCCCCACAATTAGCAGGATGCAAAACCATGAAGATGAACAGAGGTGATGAAAGTTCAGTGGGTGAAACTACTGAAGATGTTACTCTGAAATACTGCTGTGGAACTACATCTGAAGAAGTTTATTTCAAAGAGGAGAATAATCCCTATTTAAGTGTTTCATCACTTCTGGACCATACTCAGTTAGAAGGTTCTGAAATGAGTTTTGACTGTGATGCACCTGTTCAGGCAGGAACAGACTTACCCAAGGCAGCTATGAATGATATAGAATTCCTAAAAGAGGTCCAAATAAATTTGCAAGATAAAAACTATGGAACACAGCTGTCTTCTGTCTTAAAAAGTGAATCAGTAGAGAAAATAGAAGCAGTGAAACAGGATGTCATAGTTCATGCTGAAGAACCAGTTCTTCCAGCTCTGCCTCATGTGCCTCCTTCTTTTGTGGGAAAGACTTGGTCTCAAATAATGTATGAAGATGATATAAAAATTGAAGAACTAGTGCGTGATTTCAGGGAAGGTCGTTTTCGCTGCTACTTTGACAGTGAATCCTCAGCCAACTGTACAGGGAAGACCATGAAGAAAAAAAAGCAGAAGGATGAAAAAACCAGTATTGTTGAGGGTAATAAAACAGAAGGTGCATCAGTTAAAGCATTGCAAGAATTTAATGATGCTTTAAGTGGTGTTTCTGATTTTGATAACCCATCTCTAGCCTCAGATACACTATGCAATCCACAGACTCCTAAAATGCCGAGGAAGAGGACGTGGCGCCTGGCTTCAAGATGCCAGGTGGTTAAAGTCAGCCATGGCACCCAAACAAGTCTATTGAACTACCCTGTAGCAAAAAGAAAAATGTCTATTAGGGAATCTGAGCCAGCTGATCAGAAAGCAAGCACCCTGTGGCCAGAGAATGAAAAAACGCCAAACATGAAAACTAGACTATGTGCCCTTAAACTTCCGGAGTCTTATAGCAAGATTATGAGTCCTATACAGCCCAAGACAGTGGTCTATGTACTTTCGTGCCCAGAGATAAAACAGTGTAAAGGTAAACCTGTAGATATTCCCCAAATGAGGAAAACTCGTAACTCCACAGATAGCAAGGACTCTGTAAGGTATAAATACAAACAGTGTTCTTTTAAGTATTACGACCCACTGACAAATCGAATTCTGAAAACACCTCCAAACAGTACAGTTGGAGAAAAGGCCAAAAAGCCCTCCCATGTTCGACAGCTTTTCAGAAGTCTCAGCTTTGATGCAAACATGAAACTAGCTGATGCACAGAGAGAAAGCACACCATCAAAGTCACTCAGTAGGTCGGGCTTCTATAGTTCATCTTCAGCATCTTTCCTGCCAGATCCAGGTAAAGGAAATGATGCAGCCTCAAGTCAAAAGTCAGATGGATCTTCTCTTTCCACAGAAAGAACAGATTCTCTGGTATCTGATCACTCTGAGAATTCTCTTAAACACCTGATTATTTCACCTTTGAACTCTCACCAGTCTGTGGTCGAAGGAGATGGTAGGTTAACTCCATTTAACTGTAGAGTTACCAAAACTCCTTTGACCTCCATCAGGAGTGAGCGGTTAGGGAGGGAGAATCCAAAGGCAATATGGAAGAGAAAAGAAGGCACTAATAAAGAACCAGTTTTTTCCAGTAAGGCTGCAGGACCTGTGTCTGTCAGATGTACTGTTGGGAGGAGAGGAAACAGAGTAACCACAGGCAAACAAACTTCCAGAACTAAAAAACAGCAGAAAGAGGGGATGAGAAGGAAACTCCATCTTTGTGCCCAGAAATCATCTGCTTTCTCAATCCATAGATGCCAGACAAGGAAAACTACAGTGGGAAAGCACCTTAAGAAAGAAAAGCCTGATGCTAAAAAATTAAAGGTGAGGAGGAAACCAAAAAGAACCTTTCTGAACTCAACAGTTGTCACAGGGATTCCTGAAAAGAGGCAGAAAGTCACATCAGAATCTTTTCCCAAGAAGCCAGAGTGAGCTGCTTCCAAAGTCAGGAACTGGGAAGTGGAGATTGGGGTCACCCTAGCACTGTGAACCAACCCTCTAGAAGAACTTCTGCTGTACCATTACTTCGAAACTGTCTTGTTCTACCAGGTGAGAGCTAGCTACCGAAAGAACTTTTTTGGTTTTTTACAGCCGGCTTCTGGAAAAAGATTGAGGAAAAGGAAAGGGAACAAAAGGAGGTCGTAGACGAAGCAGTTTGAAGTGCTAGAGCTGCAGAAAGTGCAAAGCCAGTTTAATGTGAAACAAGTACAACTGTAAACTCAGCTCTTGTTCCTGGAATATGGGGACATAATGTATTGCACTGTTCTACTGTGTAAAGCTGCAGAAGTTGTGCATTTGTGTTAAAAAGCACTTAGAATCAAATTTACTAGACTTCACCTTTACAACGGAAAAATGAGCTTGAATAGTATCATATTGTTTTTATGGTATTATTAGTGCGTAATAGTGCACTATAATAAGGTAAATTAGAAGCTGTATTAATTAATTGTGCCTATTCTCATATTTTTTCCACATAATTCTAAAGTGCAAAAAATCACTCAGTTGTTATGCTAGAAATTAAATGAAGATACATAAATCTGGGCTGAATTCTGTGTATGTATTTTGTGCTTGTGTATATGCACACCTCCTTCAACACATAAATATACTTGCCTATGGAGTGGCATTAAAATCAATACAGTATGATACAATTCAGATCAATTCAGTGCTTTCTGCAAATGAAATATAATTGTACATATTTTTATATTGACTTTTTGTCTTGAAACCGTGTCCAAAGCAGTTATTTTGGGCAAAAAGACACTGTGGGCTCTCATCAAGCAATAATGGACCACGCTGGTAAGGAAATATATGTCTCTAGGGCACTGTTCAAATTGTGGTAGCTAAAGCCAAATCTCAAATTCCAAAAGAGATATAGGCTTACGGTTTTGTTTTGGTTTTGTTTTTCTTTTTAGATAGCTTATTGATTAAGCTTATATGTGAATTTCACATTCCTTAGTTGGGGGGTGAAAGAGTTATGATACAAACAAATAGCAGTGAGTTGTTCTAGTATTTCAACCTTAAATTTGAGTTTCTGTGCTTTTTCAATTTGGTGTACTGTTGGTTACATTTTTATGTACTATAAAAACTTTCATTTTAAACTTTCAGTTAAGTATTTAAATTAAAGCGGCATCCAAATACAGTCTGACAGATTTTTGAATTTTTTTTTAATTTATTTTGGTTTTGAAATAAAAGTTTATTTCTGTGGATGAATTTTCCTGTAGTTGTCAGTATATACAGAATCTTAGGATCATATTGCAAGTCACTGGAAAATGAAGGGTTATATGAGTTCTTATAGCCCTCTTGACTAATTGTGCCTGTATAATATTTTGTCTGATATAAAACTGATTTTTTTAAAGCAAAGTTTTAAAGGAATGGTTTTTATAGAAAGGCTAATTTTTAGATAAAGCAAGAGAAGATTTTTAAATAAAGTTTGTTTTAAAGCAAATCTTTAAAGTAACTCTCTATAGATATAAGTCCCATTCTAACATATTTTTATGATACAAGAATGTTTTCCTACCTAACTTCTTCGTCCTACTTTTCACAGTATTGTACACATGAAGAGCATGGATTTTGTGTGTTAATAAAGTTTAATGCAGATTGTTCTTTAAGATCACTAGCGCATATTTGCTTACAGCCAAAAATATTGTTCTCCATATTCATTGCAAGCTTGTGTTTCTCCAGCACAAAACTTTTCCTTGAAACCTTGAGTAATAAAAACATCTTGAGGAGTATAGAATGACTAATATTTTTAGCCTGTAATGTCTTTTTTTTTTTTTTGTAAATAATAGACCCCCTTGCCAGGGTGGCTTTTTTTTAAAAAAGAAAAATATATTAAATAAAAGTGTAAGTAGCTACTTATATTTTTCTTTAAAAAAACAAACCAAAATTCAACAAGTATGAAATGGAACAATTTTTTTTTTAAAAAAAAAAAAGATTTGAGCTAGAAGTCTGGAAACATTTCTGTGGTTGAAAGTGTCAAAATAAGATTTACTGTAAGCTTGGATGTTACTCTATGCCTCACTTCGGACTGTTCAGAAGCCTCCTCTGTGTGTGCTCACCGACTACTAGGAAAAAGAGGGGAGACTGTGATATGGAAGTAAATGTGGAAACTTGTTTGGAAAGAGAATTGGTGGAGATATGTGCAAAAGAAAATCGCAGAGACGCTCAAAATATCATGTGCATGAAGGAGAAAGAAAGTTTTCTGGGGCCTTGGGGAATTAGTCAAACAGCTCCCTATTAGATAAATGATACAGATTCTGCTGCCATTATTGAATAGCATGTTTCATTAGTGTTGCTGAAACTTTGAAACATTATGAAGTCTACAGTAGTGGAAAACTTCAAAGCTGGAATACTTTCTCACTGAAATTGATGGGAGGGTCGTTTGGTTTTGGGTGGGAGGTGGTTTGGGGTTTTTTTAATCTTAGTGGACAAAGATGTTTCATTGTGATTGTGTGGCAATCTAGAGAAGCAATAAAAGGTAACTGGGTTAAAAAGGAATAGAGTCATGCTTTTTGAATCTAATCGGGAGCAGTTAGATCCAGGATATTTTCTAATGGTTAAGAAAAATGTTATTTCTTCTATACATATGTAATTTTGATCTGCAAATCCATACTTAAGTTTTTTTAGACAGTTCAGAATTTAAAAAAAGCTCTCCCCTCACAAAGTACTCGTGCAACCTTTTTAAACAGTCTCATTCTTAAGCAGCCTGATTTTTATTATTTACCTGTATTGTGAACATTGAGTGTGACCCAGACTCACCCCGTACCAGACATAGTAGCAAGTCTCCAAAACTTTAGATGTCTGACACCTGCACCTAACAGTTCTTCAGTTCCTTTTCTGATAGGATTTTTTGCTTTCTAGTTCTTCCTCTGGGACTCGGATAAAATGAGGTATTTAGTTTGTATTTATAACAAGACTATGACTTAATCTGAAGTTGTGTTTCAGTTTCATGCTAAATTTGTGCCCAAATTAGAATATGTGGTTTTGTGGTTGTCATGCTGTCATACTTGGTAAGGTATTTTGCTGTAATTTTTTATCTGCTTCTCTGTTTCTACTGTCTGTGATCATTTGACACAATGTGAGTTAGTAAGAATACCGTGATATTACATACCTGTCCAGTGCTGTTGCTGGATGTTCCTTCTTTGTATTTTCAATTTATTTAATTCAGATTTATTGTTTTCATGTTCTTCCTCAGTCATGCATTTGGATTTTTTTTTTTTTTTTTTTAATGTTGTGAAGAGCTAAATCACAGAACAGGATATTCTGTTTGGAAGTAAATCATTGACAGGTAACAAGTGGATGGTGTCCTGATCTGAAGTGTAGAGGACAAGCTGGAATATGTGCTCCTGTGCTTGGGAGTCCACTGAGTATATGAGACAGGAGTGGGATGATGATTCTTGATTTCTTTATCTGTCTTCCTTTCTCCTTCTTCTGGGGTAACTCTGAGAATGGAGTAATCTGAATTCATACTTATTCTGGAAATAGAACGGTGTTTCGACTGTTGATGTTTTGGGGACAGATAAGAAAAATAAAGTGTATCTCACTTGCTAATGCAATTAAAAGCCCAGAATTTTTGTCTGTAATGATATATCTGCTATGAATTACAGCATTCCCAATAATCTTTTTCAGAAAACTTTGTAGTAGCGTAGGTCAAAGGTTTTGTTCTTTGCTTGCTTATGTTTTGCAGTTATGAATTAATTCCTTCAGCAGAACAAATCTCCTTTTAATAAAATAAAGACTGAATTTGCATTTTTGTAGTTTCTTTATTCTTTAAGTGGAATTTACCTTGAAACTATTTCCTATAATTTGTGGAAAGAACACCACAGGATGCAAAGGAATAAGCTACCACTTGAAGGCCAGTCATAATTTAAGCAGCTGTTTGCAACTGTATGATACCTTGACCCAGTGGAATCTTCTCTTGGCTTCAGCGAAGCCAGGATTCATCCTATCCTGTGGCAACCGAAAAAATGACATCCTAGAATGGCACTGAAAAACCATCAGATGTATTGTGGATGTCTCAGTGCGTTTTGGCAGCAGGAAACCAGGAAGCACCAACCACATGGCAAGGCCAATTTCTGCAGAACTTACTCATGAACAGTTTTTTCAGAATGTGCACTTAATAAAGGAGGGCAGTGGCTGGAAGTGTCATAATGTTAAGTAGCTTTCTACTTTATGCAAAATGGTTTGGCTTCTCTGTAATCATAGACCAAATCAGTCCTGATTATGATTTTACAATGTGTGCAGAATGGTCTTCAAAGCTAAGTGCAAAAATTCGTTTAAGAGATTTTTCTGGTAAATGGGATACTAGAATACCTTGAACTGTAGAATACTCTGTGTAGAATACCTTGTTCTTTAAACTTAGTTTTTGCTGTTTGTAACAGTGCCTCTTTAAACCAGCATGATCTTTTGCAGGAGATATGCACACAGAGGTGTCAGTTTGGATCAATAAATGGCTGCAAGGTGTAGGTATATTGTTTCTTGAGGCCTCGATACATCATAAAATTTCAGGACATGCTTTGCAGTTTTCAGCCCATACTTTGAAGATAGCTATGCATGATGTAGTTGGCTGAATGAAACTGTTACTGTACTGTCAAATAATAATTCATTAAAGGCACAACATATTATTCAGCCATCTAAATATTTAATTACAAACATGATACTGTAATGATTTTAAATCTGGTGATTGCTTACATTTCTGGTAAAAATGCAACTAGTGATATGCTTATAGAGTGTACAGTGGAGGTCCAGTTCAAATTGAAATATTCTTAGAGTTATGATGAAATTAATAACATGGGTTTAGTTGGCTTTGGATTCATTGGAGTCATTAGTGGTTTGATGCACAAAATTACTGTGTTTTGGTGGTCCTGGAAGTCATAATGATTTCCTTGAAGTGCAGAAGCATTGTTTTTGATGAACTGTATGAACACAGATCATTATTGCAGCCTACATGATTGAACGGTGTCACTGATTCTAAACCCAGGCTTTTTCATTATTAGTGTTCCTTAAAGGAAAACTGAAAAACATTTCTTCCCAAATATTGGTATTTGTAAACAGGTTTTTAATCTCTCACATCTTCAAATAAAAATATACTTCCATGTACTAAAGCTGGTCAGCTTTTCATATTGGCTGTGTCATATTGCATTAATGTTGACTCTGGTGCAACTGAAAATGTTGGTTATAGTTTACTTGGTCTTTATTAATATTGTACAGGCAAATTGTAGAATCAAAATACACCCTTGCTAGCTCATGCAGGGAGCTTAGACACTGCTGGCCTGGAAATTGTGCTGCAAGAATTAACGGTGAAGTGGGTAGGTGTAGTTGTCAACATACATGTTGCATTCCTTGTGGATGTA